ATCTACTTTTTAGCCTCCAGTGTCTGTTTCTCAGAATCCAAGAACCAGAGACGGCAGGCACTTGAGATGACAACGAGCTGAGTGACAGCACCCATATTAAGTCAAGAAAGGTCAGTTGGATCGCCCATCTTAATGTTCTAAGTTAGCCATTTGTTTATACACCTCTCCAACAGAGAAAGCTGTGTAAGAGTGCTAAACAGTGGTGATCTGACATTACCCATGGGCCTATTCATGTTTCTAAAACTGTTAACATAAAAATTCAGTTGGTTTTTCTAGATTTGAGCCGAAACAAAGTAGTGGAAAGAAGATGCAATTTGTAGGGTTTTATATCACTCACCTTCTCTCTGTGCCTTAGTTTAGATCTGAGTGTAGAGGACAAGTCATTCATCTTTGCATCCCTGAACAGAGTTCAGTGGTTGCCCAGAGTAAGCACTTGTAAGTGTCCATGAATATGTGAATGAATGAATTCAAGATATCTTCCCTGATTTGAGCTCTTTTGAGGGAAGATGGAAACTAGGAAAAGGGAATGAAAGGAAACATGACCTTAGGAACCAGGCAAGGAAGATAAACTAGTGCAATCAGCATTCTCTTTACCTTTGGAAGAGTCCTGAGGCTAGTGGCCATTTCTACATGCCTAACACTGAATGTGGACTAACAAATCTACATGTGAAAATTTTAAACAAATGCCTCAGACACACAGTATATTTTAAAAATGAGGGCATGTATGTTAAAGAGCTGTTGACAAGGGGGCCAGAATTTCTTTATTCTCTTCCTAGAAAAATCATGTAAATGTTAGCACAGATCTCCCCTTATCCTCGGGCTTCCCTGGTAGCTCAGTTGGTAAAGAATCCACCTGCAGTGCAGGAGACCCAGGTTCAATTCCTGGGTCGGGAAGATCCCCTGGAGAAGGGATCGCCTACCCACTCCAGTGTTCTTGGGCTTCCCTTGTGTGGCTCAGCTGGTTAAGAATCTGCCTGCAATACAGGAGACCTGGGTTTGACCCCTGGGTTTGGAGATCCCTGGAAAAGAGAAAGGCTACCCACTCCAGTATTCTGGCCTGGAGGATTCCTTGGACTGTATAGTCCATAGAGTCGCAGAGTCGGACACGACTGAGTAACTTTCACTTTCAGTCCTTATCCTCCAGTTCAAAATCATCATGACCTGTTAGCCCTACCTTTAATATAGTCAGGAAAAGTAAAACCAGTTGTCAGATAAACAGTTTTGGTGTCTTGTTTGGGAAACCTTCCACTCTAAAGGCTCAGGACATCTGTGTGAATCTGGGAAGGAGGGACTAAGGGAACCCCAGTGAGCACAGAGAACAGTAGTGGGTCAGTGGATTTGGGCAGTTTGTTCTAATTGAGTATCACATTAGGACACACTTCCTGCCCCCAAAAAACAGGATTAAATATCCAGAGCTCAAGTTCCAGGAATGGCTGGTCTTTCCCTTCCCTCTACACAAAGGATTGGGTCAGATCCACAGGGTTGAGAGAAGGACATACAAGCCTTCTAAATCTCTGCTTGTCTTTGAAGCAGACTTCCCAGGACTCACTTCTTCATCAAAAAACACATGAACCATGAACACACAGATTGGAGAAGACAGAAGAAAACAGGTGAGAATCTATGAAACTGCTTCTCTTCCTGTTGAAGTGTTTAAGACTATAATCCAGGGAATTCTTGTACCATCATATTCTTGGAGTGGGGCAACTTAATGTTTGGTTTCCAAAGCACTGTATATTGCTTTGGAATATATTTGACATAGCAAAGCTGGAGCTCGGTTAGATCTTTACAATCTCTCTTTTAAATACTGATTCTCCCTGACTTTAATGTCACTTCAACCATCAAGAAAAGAGTTAATTTTCTGAGACTATTTAATATACTCCACTGATAACTAGTCATTCATGATGAAGAATATGCTACATTGAGAACCTGGTAGAGATCAAGAGTGTCAAAGCTTTTGCGGTATCATATGACAAACTAAGTCTTCTTTCATAATGAACTCCTGGAGTTGAGATGGTAATTCCCTAATCTGGGCATCTGTTAGCCCATGGGGAAAATGGGCTAAAATACACAGAGCAATGAGCACAGTCCCTAATATACAACAGGTGCCCCATAAATGTTTCCTGGTCAACTATAATAGTTGGCATTTAAGAACTAACCATGTGCCAGACCCTGTGTTCATTTTATATATAGTATTTCTCAATAGGTACTAATAGCCCATTTTCTCAATGAGTTAAGTAAGGCTCAGCAATTCACTTTATTTAAAGAAGGTTAAAATGTTAGCTAGGGATATTGCTAGCATCTCAACCCAGCTTGTCTGATTTTAAATCTCATGCCTTTTCCATTACTCCACGTTGTTTCCTTAAACCATTATTATACATTTGAGTGAGCTAGACAGAAAGTGAAAAGTAAGTTGGGTTATATTAAAAACCTAAGAATTCTACACTAAAAACATCCTTTCATGCTTCAGTAGATTAAAGATGAGAAGGGCAAACAACATGAAATAAAACAATAATCCCTAATGAAAGAGAACAAAAAGGTGCTGCTACATGTCCTAAAATAGATATGTTAATTAGATGTCTGATTTTTTCCTTTTTATACAGGGCCTTTGGGAACAAGGGCTTCCCTGGTGGCTCAGATGGTAAAGAATCTGCCTGCAGTGGGGGGACCTGGGTTCAATCCCTGGATTGGGAAGATCCCCAGGAGAAGGGAATGGCAACCCACTCCAGTATTCTTGCCTGAAGAATCCCATGGACATAGGAGCCTGGTGGGCTACAGTCCATGGGGTTGCAAAGAGTCAGACACAACTGAGCGACTAATGCTTTAGGAACAAAGTAATCAGTTCTTCCCACTTCCATCTCCACCTCAAAAAAAATGGACATTAGTTCTCTCTGTACATTCCATTTGATCACACAGTCACAATTCAAGAATGTACTGAGACAAAGTAGTAGGCAGGTTTTATTCTTGAAAACCCCTCAACAGGAGAAAGGCAATCAGATGGCCTGGTCACCAACCTGTTCAGCATTAAGAGCTGAGTCTTGGATTGTGTGTGTTGTAATATTAGGCTGGGGGTGGGGGGGTGGTCTTACCTGGATTTAATGATATCTCTACCACATGAACCTCCTAAACTGTTCATGTAACATTTTAAAGAACTGTTCACTTAGTCTTGGGGCTGGATAAGAGGGAAAGAATATGGAGACAGATAAAAAGAAATGAAATATACCATGAATGCTTAACCAAAGCAGAGAATGGGAAGGATTTTAGTACCAGTAGAAAAAAAGCACACATCTTGGACTCAGAGATGATGAAAAATCTTAAAGAACTTCGTTAATGACAAGTGACTGTCTTCAGGCACTTCAGTGCCAAATTCCATCAGCTGCTGCTGCTGCTAAGTCACTTCAGTCGTGTCTGAGTCTGTGCGACCCCACAGACGGCAGCCCACCAGGCTCCCCTGTCCCTGGGATTCTCCAGGCAAGAATACTGGAGTGCGTTGCCATTTCCTTCTCCAATGCATGAAAGTGAAAAGTGAAAGTGAAGTCGCTCAGTCGTGTCCGACTCTTAGTGACCCCATGGACTGCAGCCTACCAGGCTCCTCCGTCCATGGGATTTTCCACGCAAGAGTACTGGAGTGGGGTGCCACTGCCTTCTCCAATCCACTAGCATCTGTATATAAATAAAAAGAGCTGCAGATGCTGGCCAAGGCCCCTTTTTACCCTGCCAATGTTAATGCCAGGTGTTGGACCATCTATTTAAATTCCTTATTAATAGGATTTGACCACCAATAGCTTTTCCTAGCAGTTGACTGTAAGCTAGAACTTGAACAGTATGGTTTAGAATTACTTTAGAAATAATAAGTGATTTGCGATTAAACCCTGCTCTCAATTAGCACAGAACTGGCATTGGCTTTTTAACCTCTGAGAGACATTATTATTTATGCTTGTTGCCTGTTTTAAATGGACACAATTTTAAATAAAAGATTTTAAACAGAGCCCCTAATAAAGCCTAAATCTAATCATTTCCACAATTCCAGTTTTATTTAGATTTTATGTGCTTGCATGTAGACACAGTTAAAGAACACACATGTGTATATATATATATATATTAGATGATATAAGAGTTTGACAAATGACTTGTTAATGAAAATTTATTAACTACATAACCTATGAGTACCAGAGAAACTTCAATATGTACAAATCACCATGAAGTTCCCAGTTCCTAAACTTTGGTTATATGAATGTGTTTCAAGCACCATGGAACAAACAATAATCCTAATTCAAAAAAAGAAAAAGAAAAAAAATCCCAAGAAACGAGGTCCTTCAAGTCTCTTGAATCTGTTTGTTTTTTAAACACCATTTGGGAAACTCTTTTATTCTTATATTTCCTTTCATTTGTATGCAATTTCCAAAAACAGTTTCAATAAAAATTGATCATGGGAAAAGGGACAGACAAATTACCATTACAAATAAAGGTGATATCTCAAAATAACTTTTTGGAAAGTATTCTTAAATATAAAACTCTTAACCTAGGAGATCTGTATTATGTAACAAACCCAACTCTTATTTCAAAAATCAAAAAAAAACTCCAACACTACAATCATAACAAGAGGCTCACAAGGAGATCTATAGCAGACTCAGTTAAATGGCTCCTAGGATTTCACCACCTTCCTTGGCATCTGCTAGCTGCAGAGGTGATTTGTATAATATTTAGGCATCAAAAAAGACACCTGACAGGCTGAGCACAAACTCTGATGAAATTTCACAAGAAGTCTGATGGGCAAAAGAAAGAAAAATCAAAGGATCAAGGCTGAAATAGAAGGAAAAAAAAGAAAGAAAATATGTCTGAGTCTATGTAAGTCGGGATGGAGGAGGTGTAGATGTACCAACTGACAATTTCCTTGTGTGGAAGGGACTGCATCCTTGCCTACAAATAGGATTATATACACATGTATATTATGTCAGTTCATATGTTACAGAAGTGGAAGGAGCTTCTAGTCACTTGGCTCCTCAGGCCCCAGTCCTTTGTCCTGGCTGGTTGGTGGTCTGTGTACAAGACTCAACTGCATGGTATATGAATGGATAAAGCTTGATGTCTGGTCCAGGGGTGGAGCAGTTTCTGCATTCTTCATTGTAATATCGTAGCAGCAGCTTATATACTTCTCCTGAAGAGCAGAAAGCCAGACCAGTTTGCACATTAAGATATGTAGATAAATACATCTACTACAGAACACCCCAGTTCTATCCCAAATAACATATGCTCAAATTTGGCTTTTGAAAATAGAGCATGAGTTCCATAAGTCTGGAAGGGTTTCCTGATATAAAGTTAAAATTTTTTTAAATACCTTAAAGAAACTACTTATTAGCTCATAACTACAGCAGGCTATACATGGTACATCATCCATGCATCCTTTTGGGAGTTCATGGCAACTCTTAATTTTACATTTAGCTCCCATGATAGGAAGGCCTTTCAGGTCCAGCTGAAACACAGTAGATGGAGCATGTGCTGGCCTGTCTGACAGACATGAGTCAGAGTAAGGCCTCTTAGGTTTTAACTTACCTTTCAATACCAACCCCCTCGTTCAGTTTTCCATACACACAAAAGTAAAAATGGACACTTACTCCAACTTCTTGGCTTTAATTTGATAAGTTGACATACTCATTGAATATTGAGGATGACATTTTCCCAGAAAAAAAAGGTCTGCAAGTGTTGTCCGAGACCTTGTCACCCACCCCACCCCCCACTGAAGTCACATTTCCATTCTTTCTTATCCACTAAGATCTATCCAGAGTTAGCAAGTGCTCCTCTTGGATGGTGTACAATCCATCTAGACACCAACCATCCCCTACTTACCAACAGTCAGTTTCCTTTCAGTAAGGAATGTATGCATGCTGTAAATGTCTCTCATCAATTCTGCGTCCCCAAAGGTGAAATAAACCACGTCTCGCTCAGCTACAGCAGCTGCCAGTATCTGTATTAAGGCTGTGGCACAGAGGAAAACACAGCTATATTATGACACTTCCCATCAGGATACCTTTAGTTCTTTCAGCCAGCTAAATTACAGCTGGTATGCCATAGCTATATCCTGGATTAAAGATTTATAAACCTAATATACACGTTATTAGAAATGGCAAATAGAGGATGAAGATAAATCATCTGGTTGTGTGACTTTCCAGACATGCTACTGAGAATCTCATTAAGTCACAGAATTCCCACATAAGCACCTTTGTGGGAAAACAGAGAAAGGTGCATCTGAAGTAGCACACTTAAGGCAGTAAAGTGGTTTTTTCCCCCACTTACATTAATCGGGAACTAACATTTTTGTGTTTGTTTGCTTGATTTATCTTACTACATAGTCAACTGGTTTTTTTGTATCAAAGGTCTGTGATTTTCCCCAACCAACGTACTTGGGAGGTTCTACTGCTCTCGTGAACTCTACAGCAAGCAGGCATTCTCAAAATGGGTTCCAGAAGACACCCCTGTTCCTCCTGCACTCCCACCTCCACCCAATCACTAGAGCATGGAGTGAATGTTACTGATAACACTGGACATTAACTCCGGTGTGCTGGCATAGGAAAATCATGGAGAACCCCTGTCCTCAGGAACCAGAGGTACAAATCACTGAGCCTGGAGTATATTTCCAAAAATTAAATTCCTTTATAATCTTAATCTCAACAGACAAAATTTATTTTAAATATCAAAAATGAACATAGGTAAAATAAATGCCCAGTTGCTAATAACATATCTTTTCCTTCATAAAAGGGGAGGTGGGAATCAAATTAAAACACTGTGGAGGATAAATATAATTTTGATTTTTGAAAGCATGTTAATATTCTACATCTTCAAAACATAAAATATAAGAATGGGAATGGGGAGGAGCTTATAGCTGAAAGCAAATGAAAACAGACGAGCCTAATTTTATTTCAAAAGAAAAACACTACAGGGAAAGGAAAAAGGAAAGAATGAAAGTAAGAACTAATCCAAGTAACTTATGAACACAATATTTGACTAATATGCCCTCACTCTTGGACAAGGAGGAAAGAACTGCAAACAAATCCCAGACTTTATCAGATGTGCTTACCAGAGCAGTACAGGTAAAACAATTCTGAGACTATTAATAAACTATATTTCAGGATTGAATACATGAGTTGATTTGCTGATGCTGCTGGGAGTTATAGCTCTCAGAATGGAAGAGGGGACATACAAACATAGAATGGGAAAGACAAAAAAGTAACTCTGTGGTTATCACTTGAAATGAAAGGCACTGGTATGTACTTATGACTTTTAAATATGTACATTTGTGTGTGTGTGTATGTGTATTTCCTAGTTTTGTCTGCTTAAAGAGCCAAAAAGAAGACATCCCAGTATCAGTTAGTATACTAGTGCCCAGATAGTGGTCTAATACCATTCCCCCTAAAAGGAGCTGGATTCCTCAAGGAATACTTGATTCCATGGTTGGGACAGGATAGGTACAAGATAAACCTAGAATGTTTTATTATACCAGGAAGTGAAGAAGTACTCCAAAACAGATGGGGAAAAATTGATGCATGCTTATCATAATGATATAGAAGCCAGTTTGAAGGAGCATCTACTAGCCAAATCTGGGCAAGGGAAGAACCAAAATATTATGTATAGTATTAAGTTACAAATCATTGAAAAAAATATAAATTCCTGAGTCTACAATGATAATACGTAATAAATAAGTGCAGAAGAAGGGCCCTTGCTCACATGAGAAAGCTAAAGACTAACTGGTAAATCTCGAGGGAGTGTTAGAATGAGATAACCCCTTTTCTGCATTCATCATGGTAGACTGGATCAGGCAAAGATCAATAAAGGATGCTAGACCTAAGGGGAATTGTGGCTCAAAGCATCTTCCCACAGACTACTTATTAACTACAAGAGAGGAAAAAATACCTCTACAGTGGGAAAACATGACTAGGTGACCAAAATTAACATCACCAGTGGGGTCAGATGACTACCAATGCCTCTAAATACTATCACCTGTGCACTACTCTGATCAAGAATGCATAACCTCACCCTAATTATCAGGAAACAGAAGCTAAAGGCAACAAATGTTGTATTCTTCAAACGTGTATTATTTTCATCATAGGGGACTGGAATGCAAAAGTAGGAAGTCAAGAGATACCTGGAGTAACAGGCAAGTTTGGCCTTGGAGTACAAAATGAAGCACAGCAAAGGCTAACAGAGTTCTGCCAAGAGAACGCACTGCTCATCTCAAACACCCTCTTCCAAGAACACAAGAGATGACTCTACACATGGACATCACCAGATGGTCAATGCTGAAATCAGACTGATTATATTCTTTGTAGCCAAAGATGGAGAAGCTCTATACAGTCAGCAAAAACAAGACCAGGAGCTGACTGTGGCTCAGATGATGAACTCCTTATTGCCAAATTCAGACTTAAATTGAAGAAAGTAGGGAAAACCACTAGACCATTCAGGTATGAACTAAATCAAATCCCTTAGGCTTATACAGTGGAAGTGACACATAGATGCAAAGTATTAGATCTGACAGATAGAGTGCCTGAAGAACTATGGACGGAGATTCTTAACACTGTACAGGAGGTGGTGATCAAAACCATCCCCAAGAAGAAGAAATGCAAAAAGGCAAATGGTTGTCTGAGAAGGCTGACAAATAGCTGAGAAGAGAAGCAAAAGGCAAAGGAGAAAAGGAAAGATATATGCATCTGAATGCAGAGCTCCAAAGCATAGCAAGGAGAGATAAGAAAACCCTCCTAAGTGATCAATGGAAAGAAATAGAGGAAAACAATAGGATGGGAAAACTAGAGATCTCTTCAAGAAAATTAGATACCAAGGGAACATTTCAAGCAAAGATGGGCACAATGAAGGACAGAAACGGTATGGACCTAACAGAAGCAGAGGTTATTAAGAAGGGGTGGCAAGAATACACAGAAGAACTATACAAAAAAGACCTTCATGACCCAGATGACCAGGATGGTGTGATCTCTCACCTAGAGCCAGACATGCTGGAGTTTGAAGTCAAGTGGGCCTCAGGAAGCATCACTACAATCAAAGCTAGTGGAGGTGATGGATTTCCAGCTGAGCTGGAATTTCAAATCCTAAAAGATGATGCTATTAAAGTGCTCACTCAATATGCCAGCAAATTTGGAGAACTCAGCAGTGGCCACAGGACTGGAAAAGGTCAGTTTTCATTCCAACCCCAAAGAAAGGCAATGCCAAAGAATGCTCAAACTACTGCACAATTGACTCACCTCACACGCTAGCAAGGTAATACTCAAAATTCTCCAAACTAGGCTTCAACAGTATGGGAACCAAGAACCCAGATGTTCAAGCTGGATTTAAAAGAGGAAGAGGAACCAGAGATCAAGTTGCCAACATCCGTTGGATCATAGAAAAAAACAAGAGTATTCCAGAAAAACATCTGCTTCTTTTTCACTGACTATGCTAAAGCCTTTGTGTGGATCACAACAAATTGTGGAAAATTCTTAAAGAGATGGGAATATCAGACCACCTTACCTGCCTCCTGAGAAATTTGTATGCAGGTCAAGAAGCAACAATTAGAACCAGACATGGAACAATAGACTGGTTCCAAATCGGGAAAGGGTTATGTCAAGGTTGTATATTGTCACCCTGCTTATTTAACTTATATGCAGAGTACATCATGAGAAATGTTTGACTGGATGAAGCAAGAGCTGGAATCAAGATTGCCAGGAGAAATATCAATAACCTCAGATACGCAGATGACAGCACCTTTATGGCAGAAAGCAAAGAAGAACTAAAGAGCCTCTTGATGAAAGTGAAAGAGGAGAGTGAAAAAGCTGGCTTAAAACATTCAAAAAACAAAGACCATGGCATCTGCTCCCATCACTTCATGGCAAATAGATGGGAAAACAATGGAAACAGTGAAAGACTATTTTCTTGGGCTCCAAAATCACTGCAGCCATGAAATTAAGACACTTGCTCCTTGGATGAAAAGCTATGATGAAGCTAGACAGCATATTAAAAAGCAGAGGCATTACTTTACTGACAAATGTCCATCTAGTCATAGCTTTGGTTTCTCCAATAGTCATGTATGGATTTGAGAGTTGGACCATAAAGAAAGCTGAAGGCCAAAGAATTGATGCTTTTGAACTGTGGTGTTGGAGAAGACTCTTGAGAGTCCCTTGGACAGCAAGGAGATCAAACCAAAATAAAAACTTTTAAAAATTGAACTAGTATATTTGATATGGCTGAGTATCCCCAGATTTGAGAAAGAATCTAAGATGGTATAATATATACAAGATTCTGAATACAAGTATTTCCTAATTTCTAAACTAATATTTATTGAGTATCCACACCATATGAGGCACCACGACTAGGCCTCATTAATCTTGGAGTAATTGATCCCAAAATACAGATACATTTTAATTAAAACTGCTCAACCAACTTATGCAAACATTAAAGCTTCAGTACACTCAATTTTAAAAGGTTCCTAATTAACCTAAACTACACATAAAAATGGAAACCAATGTGTTGTAATCTTCTACCAAGAGGTATTTCTTATCTTTTGGTTTGAATGAAATTTATCTATATTTCCTATTAAGAGGAGAGAAAGACCCAAAGAAAAGTCCTTCTGGTCTTGTTTTCCTCTTACATACAGAAATACTAGATCACTGGTCATTTGTCATTTATGAAAATAAAATATTAATAAGAACATTTAAAATGTATCTCCCTATAGAGTTTATTTATTTTTTCCTCCCCATAGAGTTTATTTTTAAAATGCTTCACAGGCCATTCTATCCCTATGGATAGGCTCACAGAGTTAAGTTTGACAGATCTACCAAAAAGAGGCTGAATCCTAATAAGAGAACCAATTTACATTACATTCTTGATTTCCCATCTGTTTCTGTTTGGGTCACATGATAACAAAAGCATGTGGCAGACAAGCTGGGACTGGAGACTGAAGACCTGAGGCTCAGGCCTCCCCTTTCTGCTAGCTA